CCCTGCCCAGCTCTTGCGCTTTTGTAATCCAAATGTCCTGGCGGAAGTCATCGCGAGCTTTAGCTTCATTTTCGTCGTCTGCTGCTACGGATGCAGACCCTCTTGGTCCAATATTGTCTTCGCTCTTTGATCTAGCCTTTCCCAGCTCTTCATCGAAGTTATCCCGATACTTTCTGTATAGAAGTTCCGCTATCTCGGCAGCCTGCTGCTTTCCAGATATGTCCATCACAACTCTTGCCCGATTTTGCGGTCGGTCTGCTGTATCACTCTGACGATCAACACCGGCAGCATTGATCTGGGATCTACCATTCCCATGATGTCTTTTCGTTGCTCGCCTTGTATCAGCATTTCCTTGCCTCTGCTCTGGATATGGCTTGAGGAACCCCGATTCTATCAACACCGGATCTAGCATACGGTCAACGACCAGCCAAGCATCGCGCCACGCATTTCGCTTTGCATTGAGTTCGTCTTCTAGCATTGATTTGTTATTGAGGATGATTCCCTGGTTGTTTCGGCTTCGCATCAACTGTTGCCATAGATCATCCAATTCTTCCGCTTGTCTGTCGCTAGGAGTCCCGGCTTGTTCCAGTTCTTTCTTCTTGAGTTGTGACCGAAAGTCCGTGGACTCGGCTATGCCAGCAGCATCCTGACCCTGCGTCTCAAATCGCTGTCGATGAACCTCAGCTTCGCTTTCGAACTTTCGGAAGCTTCTCCCAAGACAAAGCGCTCGCTGTATGCTAGCTGCAAGCTGTCTGGAAAGGACTAAGGCCTTAACCTGATCTTGATCTTGTTGAAGAGCTATGTCAACAACCTTGGGTTGGTTGCAGAAGGTTGATTGGTTGATCACCGTAGTCGCCCACTGCTTGCAGGCCTTTTCAGACGACGTCTCTGGATGTGGCAGTTCATGCGACATCTTGACATGTATTGGTGTAATGGTAAAGGGTAGGTGAAGACGGTTGTTGGTGGATGTTGAACGACAGACATTTAGCGTGGAGATGCAAGTGCAGGTCCTTGTCGTAGATCTCTGGCTGTGGAAGTCAACAAAGGCAGCTTTAACTGGATCTTTGTCGATCGTGCTAGGGCAGCTGCGTCCCAACCCTGAGCTCTGAATTTTCCGCGGAGAGCCCGAGCGTCGTTAAAGATCGAACGATAACTTCCTCCCAGGCAGAGCGCTGTCTGCAGCCCTTCAGTCAGCTACTTGGACAATGTGACAGCGGAGACTTTCCTCAGATCGTCGTCTGCCTCTTTGACTTGGATGACTCTTGCAGTCTCAACAGGGTTTTGATACTCAGATGCGACTGCTCCTTTCTATTTCGCACGCGCAAGCTCGGATAACGTCTGCGCCTGCGCCATTCATCGATTTTTCCGAGTGAGTAACAACTGATAATTCTGCACCAGCATGCTCACTGCGGGCTGAGACCTGGGAGGCCCAAGCAACTTACAAAGCTGAGGAAGGCGTGTAGTCAAACAAGGGACACAAGTATTATCGCTCAACAAAGAACATGAACTCACGTTCTTGGCCACCTTGACATGGACGTACCACGTTTTATGTACAGCGGTTTTTGCAAATCAACGTCATCCGAAGGTTCTCAACACCACACTATCCTGGGGCCAATCTCCTCGCTTCCAAGGTCACGGTGCAGGCTTGGCACCACGAAGTCTTTCGGCCTCTCAGAATTCACTCTGTGATTTAAGCTCCAACTCCTCTGGGGGTATATAAAGTCAAGTGCTCACCCTTTGCTCGGTACCACCCACCCTGCTAGCGTTATCTGTTCACTCTTGCAATCATAGTACACAAGACCGGAACTTCCAAGATGACTGATCCGGACGGGCGCGGACAAGGTACGATATACTACATTACTCTCTCAATGTCGCTGACATGCTTTCAGGTTTCAGTGCATGGAAACTTCCCCTGGACCAATCGTACCAGCCTGCGACACCCCAACTCAACTATGACGAGGTACGATGACATCTCGCCACTATCAACAAAAGCTCCCCTGAGCATCAACCCAGCTTTGCTCACGGATCTCTTTTCCGTCAAAGCAATTTATTCAAACCCGCGAGCTAAGCTAATATATTGAAGGATGATATAGCCCCTGCTATCCCCGCGTTTGGAACTACGCCCAATGTTTCGAAAAAGCGCAAACACATGGAAGTGACTACTGGCCCCTCTGATGACTTCGACGAGGAGTCCTACGATCTCAGCGATACTGAAGTTGAGGGTGACCCGAGCGCCGTCTTGACTGGCAGTGAGACGCATCCAGCCAAACGCCCAAGGACCACAAAGCACAGGGGCGCGGCGGAAGCATCCTACTTCACACGCCAAGCAAAGACAGATGAGGTCTGGATGACCGATCGCCTCACCTCTTTTCCTGGCAGATTCAGCGACCTCATGACGGAAGACGTCGCCGGGATACTGCGGCGCAATGTGGTCTTCGTCCATACTAATCTTGGTGCGGTGATCAAGGGCCTTGCTGTCCATCTGAACCCAGCATTCCACGACCGCGTATTCATGATGTTCAGCAAATCAGCCGTGAGCATCCCGCGTGCACCCCAGATGCCTCTTGAACATCGAGTCAAGGTCGGTATGGTCTTTAGGGAGCGAACAGTGGGGTTCTCCTATGACGAAGGTACTCCTCTCGGAAACGACGCCGCTGGTACTGCACTGGGAAAGGTCTCCACGAAACGGCGGTTTCATATCGTTCGCGCCATTGTAGGCGACAACGAGTTTCTGACTGCGTGTGTGGAGACTCACGGTGAGCGAGGGCTTCGCGCTCCGTCCATACCGCCGGATACATACTGGCAGTGGCTACGTGTAGCTGATGCTCGCGACCGAGACCCCGTTAACCATGGCCCTCACGGTGTTCTCAAGGTGGACACAAGCCAGGCCACGAAGCCAATTCGCATCTCGGATATGTCATACGTGCTTGCAGGCGCGTCCAGTCGATGCACACTTACGGAAGACTGGGAGTTCGCCGGATATCTCGATGAAGCCAGTGTCACCCTGCTGGAGACGATTGGAAATGGAGTGACAACATCGCAGCGAACCGACAAACTGAAACACGGACTCTATGACTCAATCAACTGGGATGCTATAGACGATGGCCGTAACGCCATGGGCCTCACAGCGTATCCACGACCTGACCGCCGGCCACCCCCTCGTCGAACTGAGACTTCTCAACATCATCCGGATGACGACGAGTCCGACAACGATCGTAGGCGTTCCGATCATCGCCGCCGCTCTCATGATCGACGAGGTCGAGACCACCGGGCTTCATCTCGAAAGGATCGTGGTTGCTCAAACACCGCATCTTACGAGAAAGATCGGCCACAGCGCCCTCGTGGTTCGGATACCAGGAGCTCACAACCGCGACCGACCCAGGGAAAGAGGGCCGTCCAATATGACGACGTTGACCGAAGCAAGGCTGATGCCTCTCGCGGGGACCACGCCGCAAAAGTTGATCAGTCCTGGAACAATGCTGTTAAAGGCATCACGGCCGGTAGTGTGTACATTAGCCCCAACTATCACGGCCGGGAGTCTAGAGGCCGGACCGACCGCGTTGATCAGTCCTGGCACAATGCCGTTAAAGGCATCACGGCCGGTAGTGTGTACATTAGCCCCAACTATAACAGCCGGGAGTCTACAGGCCGGACCGACCGCCAGAACGACAACGAAGGTCCTCCCGGATCGCGTGGCCTTGGTGGTTGTTACGATCGCTCTTAATGCTGCAATTCAGTACTTCCTGGAGGGTTCTGACGAGGAGGAAGCGCGACGGTATATGGAGAAGAGGAGACGGAAGAACCTGTTGGAAGCTGGGCAAGGTAAGGTGTTTCGAGCACCTCGTCTCAGTGCGCGCGCTCGTCGTACATGCCCTGTATCAATGCGGGCTCAGCTGATATGAGCTTTCCAAAACTGTGGGAGCCAAGCTGGTCGGATTCATGTAAAGTATCATTGTTGCCAATGGAAGATGCTATCAAATGTTCTCGTGAATGAATGTTAAGTTGCTTGCTTGTGTATGGAGATCGGGCGGAGAAGAGCTGTTGGTGGCGTCAGTGCACGGGCCATGACGCGAAAGTCACGCGTAAGCGAGAGTCCAGCATTCCAAGGTTCTTTCACCACTCGCACTGCCACTGCACTTATTCACCCTCCGTTCACAACTGATTTGACGTGTCTCTAATCGGATGCAATGACTGACTTGTGTACACCATGATCGCCATAAGGAGACGAAAGTTTGCGCGCCCAGCACAGAGGCTCGCGCGCATCGAAAGTCTCCTGGAGACCAGCATCGCGCCCATGCAGAACCTCGAGCTAAGGCATAGTTATTCCGCTCATCTCATTTCAGTGGCCTCAATTGCCATGTACATATGTACATGGTGTAAAGCTGTCATCTCAAGTCGTCCCAACTTATGCTGATCTCGCCCAGGAGACCTTGCTATCACCTACCAGCATGATGGTCAATTGCCAATCCGACACACCGCTCACGCTCCACGCCGTCCTATGATCGTCTCGGGTCATTCTCCCACAAATATCGAACTGCGTCGATGAGAACAAGAGACTCCACCGCTCGGTTTCGACCTGCACACCACACCATAATTGATGAGAGCGCTACCTGGAAGTGCATTCGGTGGATACACGGCGATGGGCTCCTACTGGGCTTGACAATTTGCGTAGTACATGATGCACGAATTAAGCATCGTACACCTTTACGAGCTTCGTGTCTTGGGGCCTATCACCTGGCCTCTGCTTGCGCATGAATCTGCGGGTGTCGATTCTCCTCACCTACGGACTAAAGCCAGTATCTGTCACTGTCCGAGCCTTCAGCGTAGTTTACGGTCGGTTTCGCCTCTCAGATAGCAACTGCTCAAACTTTGGATGGCTTATCTACGGTGCTCTCGTGAGGAACGCCTGCGTTCGCCGCCGACTCGATAACGGTTATCTTGGCCCATATCTTCGCGGTCACGATATTCTCCGCCTCTTCTGACATCGCGTCTCTCTCGATTCACATCCAAGGAGGGTGATCGACTTCGACTTCGACTTCTCTGCCTGGGAGAATCCCTCCTTCTTTGTCTGGTTTCTCCTCGTCGAGCTGAAGCTTGTCGCGAGCGTAGTCGAGAGCTGCTTCTTCTTCCGCGTTCAAAATCCTCACGTTCTTGCCTAACAAGCCGTTCGATTCGTAAAGTTCGTTCCTCCCTTGTTTTGCTGTCAGCAGACGGACTACGCCTATGGCGATTCCTGTCTTCTTGATCGGAGCTACCATTTCGCTGGTCAAGCTCATCGCTGTCGTCCACAACTCGCGTCCCGTCTTGACGTCTGCATCTTCCACGTGGCTCATTTTCCGTCCGCCTTCTACGTCTTGACTGAGAACGATCTCTTCGTCCCCCGCGGCCCCTGCCATTCGTCCCATCGTCGCGAGTCGACTCCTGTCCGTCAGCCAAGCCCCTTTCCCTTCCGGATCGATGGCCAGGTGCCGCTGCAGGTCTCTCGGTTCGATCTCCACGGGTGCTTTCATACTGCTTCAGTATTCCAGCTTCCATCCATACCACGTCTAGCAGCCTGTCTACTTCAAACCACGCGTCTCTCCATCGGCCCACCTCTTCTACGTCGCCTTCACCTAGGTAGACCAGGTTACGCTCAATGACACCATGATTAGCGCGCATACGATGAAGGTCTTGAGCCAAAGTATTAAGCTCTTTTCTCTGCTTCTCGCTCATAACAAGAGACTGATCAATCTCCTTCTTCTTGTGTTGTAGCTCAAATTCAAGAGCTTCCACCAAACCCGCATTGTCCAGTCTCTCTGTTTCAAGCTCCTTTATCTTGGCTGTGGTGTATTGAGTGGATAGTCTATGCTGTCGGCCCATGGAAAGTGCTTTTTGTATTTTCGTCGCTAGCTCACCGGACAGTGTCAGAACAAGGACGCTTTGTTCGCCATTCATGGTTTCGGTCAACTTTGTACGTGCTCCTTCGTAACTACGGGCCCCGTTTGGTGCCGTCCAACTGGCGACAATCCGTTCTTCCTTTACAGGTGGATGACCTGCGTGGTAAGGCATTTTGCAAGTCTTTTTGGGCTCTATGAAAGATGGCGTGAAATTGTTACCGAGGATGAAGTTTTCTTGGACGAAAGCAAGGTTGCAATTACGTTTTATATACGATACTGATATGTCAAAGAAGCAGACAAAGGAAAATGCACAAGGCGAAACCTGCTTTCATTGAGTGCCTAGTCTTGGACTGGACTGCTTATTACGAACGTGCGCTGGGAAGGATGTCCTTTCAAGTCTGTAAGTCGATCTCATATATGGATTCTGAAAGGTCGATGTGCAGGCTCCAAGGAATGTCTAGGATTGGATCTACACCAGCACTGGGTACCGCATACTTTAGATGGAGCGACTGTTGGGACTGACCCAAGAGGTCCAATTCTTCTCAGGTTGCGCAGCCAGTGAATACTACATAATCTTCACTCGAGACTGTAGCGTCACTTGGTCTTCCTGAATTGGCCGCGCTGCAGGCTAGATTGCGATCTGACGTTGCGCTTGGACAAATGTGAACTGCAACTGCTTCGTGCTCCACTCTAGGAAGACCAAAGTGCCGCCCACGTCTACTCACACGCCTTGCTTTCGCATCAACAACTGCGCCGACTCCGAGCAGATAGTTCGACCTACCCCGAGTCCCCGACCATTCTGCAGAAAACACTATTCGACGACCAAACCTTCCCCTGCCCCGCGTGCACTGCGCAGTGCGCGCTCAACTCGATTCCAGTAGTGCATTCTGCCACTACTATGGAGCCACACGAATCTGAGTCTTCGGTACGTAGATATTGTGCTTAGGCCATCGGGTGTGCTTTATCCTTCACGACATAAAGCTCTACAAAATAGATATCTACAAGTAGCTAACTCAGCGCAGGCCGACGACCGTGGTGACCATGCCGTGAACGCATCGGATCTGCTGCGCGTCGATGGAGTTTTGACCGAATACGCTCGCCATACAGGCAACACCGAGTCAAAGCCGACCGACGAGACCACTGAACTCGGGCTTCAACTAAGTACCAAGAAGCGTTCACACGAATACACTCCTGACGAAGACGGAAAAAGAGTTCGCACCAAGACCCATAGCGCGCCACAAAGCCCAACAACACCGGACGATCAGCCAACACCACCTTCAACCCCCCTCGTCGGATCAGCCCCAGATATCATGCAGATCATGACGAACTTTACAGCAGTCACTGGTCAGATTGTTGCATCTATCAAGGACAAATCTTTGATCAATAATGAATCTACACGCAATACCGTCAAGGATATGTTACGAGAAGTGCTCAAGATGCTCGTCCCTTGCGTGACTGAGATCCGCGAAATGGGGGCTCTCGGCATTGAGATTGTAGGACTTGCAACTTTGCTAGACTCTTCACTTGGGCGTGAGGGTATATTCACGATCATCTGCTCGCCCTATTCCAGCAGTATCCCCAAGCCACTTCATGTCGATTTCACTGACTACTTTGCTGTCGGAGACGCATTCTGGGATCGGGTGGTGGAGTTTTCGCTCGACCCGACCCTGAAACCTGGTGAAAAGGCCGCTCCAAGCTCACAAGGACTGGTTTGCGCTGCATGGCGTCTGCATATTGTCGCGAAAGTGACTCCGCGGAACATCTGGACAACAGTCTGTCGACTTAGTAACGGAAAAGGGGTATCAAATCTACACGAAAACGATCGTTGGATGCAGATGCATCTTCACGACGATATCCTCGGGCCGCTGCCACGAAACCGGCGAGCTGAGAAGAACGGGACACCACACGAGTCGCTAATCTGTAGACGGGTCTCGAGCTACAGGGACCGTGCGATCAACGCGAACGCACATTTCTCTGCGATGGATGCCGTACCACACAGCCCTAGCGAGGGCATGGTACCTGTGGGATCACTTGATAAGGACAGTCGCGATCTGTTCGTCGGACTGAAGGCCAATGCATACAGCCCAGATGGGAAACTCATCGCACATCCGAAAGGCATGGATAAGGATGCCGTGGAGCGCGGCCTTCGAATGGCGAACCGTGGTCCTCGGGATCCGATGCCTCGTCCAGGCAATGCGCAACACCGTGACATGCTTTTCGGCCAATTACGCACCCATCCTTCCAAAGGAGAGTCTAAGAGCCTTCTACGAGAGTCGAGCACATTCAGCTCCGCATACTCAGTAGTAGATTCCCAAGGAAAAGGCGCCCAGTCCTCAATTGACGACTCCCGAGACCATTCTTCCAGCGAGGTCAGTCCATCCCAAGGCATCTCTCAAACTCTTTTCCGGCCCACATCACATGCGCAACAGCAAGCACCAGTGCAAGCTACGGATGGTATGAGGGCGGATCAAAGTTCTAGGGGTGGAGAGGCCGATACTACCGCCACTAGTCAACGAAACGCTCCTGCTCATGCTAACACAAAACCCAAGGCCAGTCCCTTTATCAACCGTCCTGCTATGGCGCAAAACTTGCATCAAACTCACGATGGAGCAATGGTCAACCCCATCCTCAACGTGACAGAGCAGAACCAATCGTTGAACATCAACCAGCCTGTATCGAACTCATCATTTAGCCCGGAAAGGAAAGGTGGCGATGGAGGCTTTTAGCTCTCTTAGCAATCATTGATCGAGATCTGGAGACAGGGGGTCGCGGGGTCTGGTGCGGGTTTCTGCGATGCGACCATTCTATTAACTGCACAGCATGGGATAGCTAGGGGTTGTTGTTTTCTCTGCACTGTCTGGTTTCGATGGCATGTGAACGGACTACCGTCCAAACAGTCACGATACGATGCAACGCAGCTTGCATTCATCGATAATGTAACTTCTCTAGTCATGTCAACATGTCTCTTCACGTTAACGGCACTTTCCAGAACGGCACATGACCCGCGATTGCTCAGCATTAATAAAGTAACGATACTGCCTTACTACACAATGCTCCACAAGATACCCAGCACCAAACTTCTCACAAAGCACCTTATCTACCACAACCCCTCCCTTCATCTTCAGGCGGGTTTCGACTTCTTATCCTCCGAGCGCTTTCATCGCGAGTCCTACGCTGCTGACTTTCGCGGTGATTACGCTCACGATATCCCGGTGCGTCTCTAGATGTACCTCGTTCGCGTCCTGGACTGCTTGATCGACTTCGGTTCCGTCGTTCTCGATGCGCGTCACGATCATCCGCTTGTTGTCGCGCGTGGCGGGGCATGGAGACATCGTGGCCATGACGCGGTGGTGGGGGAGGCGGCGGCGGCGGCGGCGGCGGCGGGCGCGACGGATATGCCCGATACGTTCTTCGCGGATGCTCACCAGAGTATTGGGACGAGCTCGGAGATGTTGGACGATCTCCAGCGTTATTGGTGCGTCTAATAGTCTGCCTACCATGTGTACTTGCACCTTTCCCCTTGTCGAGGTTCGTGGGGCTTTGGGCTTCGACACTGTTCTGCCATTCCGAGATATCGCTTCTTCGTCTTCCCGCCTGCCTTTGTCGAGCGTGCTCTACCTCCGGTGCAGCTAACAGCAAGTTGTCGCCAAGTATATTCGCCATGCCTCCGTTTCTTCCGGCTTCGTTCTTTGACTCAGTCGCTCTAGGTGGCCTTTCGTTGTCCGCATCTGAATCGTCGTCGGGTACTAGCCGCCCTGCATCTGTCCACACTTTGGCTAGAATCTTGTCTATGTCGGCCCAAGCCTTCCGCCACCTGTTCAAACCGCGCGCAAGATCCCTATCGTAGTTCGCTATCGTTTCATCCATGATACATTGGTTGGCTTTCGTTCGCTCGACACTCTGGGCTAACATCTTCAAAGTCTTCTTTTGGAATTCGGTCGGCTCTTTGTTTGGCTGTATTTCTGCGCATTTGACGTTGAAGCGATGAGTGAACGACTCCAAAGAACCTTTGTTATCGGCTTGCTTCAAGCGCGTTTCGTGCTTCCATCTTTTGACGTCCTGTACTGCATGAATGTGACCACGACCTAATGCAAGAGCGGTCTGAATCTTCTTCTCAAGCTCTTCTGTTAGAACCAATGCCAAAGCCTCGCGTCTACCATCTCGTACTCGCTTGAGCCGCGGCCGCAAGGTACTCGATCCCGAGCTGTGTGCCGTTGGATGCACCCATATCTGACAAGCTCTTTCGGAGAAAGTCGTATTCAATTCTGCATCGTCGTACATGGCTATCGTCTTGGAAGATAGGATTCGTTGCGACAAGATGCGCGAAGCTTCCCTGCTTTTAAGCATCATGACAAAGCTAGCAGATTTCTTTGACCGCAACGCTGCTTTGTAAGTTAACAACAAAGGTTTGCTCAGGACTATCAGCCACGCCACTTTCAATATGTTCATTATGGAAGACTTCACAGTGTACGACTGCGCGAGTTGATTGGCTATTGCAAGACACCATTGTCCACGTACATCCCAGAACTCGGAAGTGGGATCTAGATATACACCAAGTTTTCAAAAGCAGCCTGTTCTGTATCAATTAAGGATGCCCACTAGGTTGGTTCCATCCGAGGGGCAGTGGCAGTGGCAGACACAACTACTAGATGATCACGCTACATTCACTCACTCGTTGCACAGATCGCCCCAATGCAGCAGTGCACTACGTCAGGAACTTTCTGATTACGATGAATTGATCCACCCGGAGGGGGCAGAGCTTGCGCTACTGTTGCGAATCACTGCGCTGAAATCGACTACATCAAGTGCGCATTTCACTGATCCTTCCCAGATAGACCTTTCTACACAAACTAATTCTCAACCGAACCCTCAACCGGAATATCACAACTGTTTCGATCATAACACCTACCAAAACCCTTTAACACTTGCGCATCCGCCAAACATGTCGGGTCGTCGTGGTCATGAAGGTAAGCCTTTCCCCTCTACAACTTCCAGAACTATCCTAATCAAGACAGACAAAGACAGTCCGCAAGCATCACGGGTAACACGTCCTAGAGGCTATGTAACGAACTCTGGTCAGACCTTCGATGAACTCGAGGAGGTGGTCGTCGCCGATTCGGAAAGCTTGACACTGAGCCCGGCCAGCCCTACCTCGCACCCTGAACAAGAGATCGAGCGCGCACCGCAGCCGACTCACGCACCTTCTCCACAACCACAACGGGAAGCACACGAAGCGAGTGTTGATAGCCAAGACGGGTATCATACACCTTCGGAGTTCCCCGGGGAAGAGCGCGAACCTGCTGCTAGCTCCCAAGAGCAACCTACACGCCCTCATGGTAGGCAAACAACCGGCCCTTCGCCACCCGAGCTGCAGTCTCGTCCGGGTACCAACACAGCTCCTCCACTATCTCGTCAGGAAGAGCGTAGCTTGGTCGCCATTCCCCAAGACCAGACCGCACGGCTTCATGAAGCGCGGGGACCGATTGCCAATAACCGAGGAGACGTACATGCGACTGCCGTTCGCCCACCGTCTGAACACCCCTCTCCAGTCGAGCTCAGCCCTAGTGGTAGTAGTCGTCAGGGTCAATCATACCAAGATGTCGTCGTGCGAGAGTCACCCCTAGGCTCCACCGATGCACCTATCACCATTCCACGAGCGGATACCGAGCACACATTCAAGACAAGCAAAGTCATGCAGTTCCTAGCAGCGTATGGAAGCGCACAACAAAGGCCAAACCTCATCGTTGACTTCAGTACACCACTTGGTCAGAGGCAGATGCTGGCTCTCATTCAAGACTTCGCTTCTTGGTGGGCTTCCAATGGCGGTTGCATAAAGCGCGGAAATCTTGGTCTCGAAATGCCTGACCTTGCCGGGCTCTTGTTCCCGCAATATGATGGCTTGACAACGATGATCATGTCTAAGCAATCCACTCATGTACCACAACCCATCCGGCAACGTCTCGACGAGGTGTTTTGGGAAGGCATGCTCTTTTGGTTTCGTACTTCCGAGTACGCGGTGGACCCAAAACAGGTCTTGGGGGACAAATGTGGTTTGACTGCGCATGGCAAAGCTCTCTCAGGATGGAGGATTTGCTTAGTCCAGAAAGTCTTCCCCAACGTAGTCCTAGTTACTTGGGGCCGGACTTCTCAAGGCCATGATCTGGACAAGATACACCCTGGGAACCGTTGGCAATTCATGCGACTACTTCCATTTGACCGTCGAGGTTGGCCCGAAGATGTTTCAAGGAAACATAGCCCCCATGACAATATCCTCATGCATCCAAAGGAAGATGAAGGCTGGTCAGTCCAGGAGTTGAAGACACATTGCAACTTCAATGTACTTGTTGCCAACGAAGTCATACCCACTCAGGGTTTCATATTCGCAGGATATCTCACAGACGACAGTCTTGGTATGGTTAAGTGGGTTCGCAATGCCGCTTTTGTTGGGCTTGCCGAGCTTAAGTACATGCCTCCGACCCCATCTGGAGTCGACGAGGGTGCAGTACGGCGAGGTTTGGAGAATAACCACTATCCGCGGCAGCAACCAACCGGCTCTATCAAGCCAAAGCTGTTCCCTGCAGCGTACCGAATGCCAGCACCTCCCCCGTACGTCCCAGCACCGGGAGGAGAAGTGTTTGCCTTCCAAGATGCACCTTCATCTCCCCAGATCCCTACTGGTCCTCGTGGCACAGGTGGCGGTAGGCCTCGCGATCGTCCCGCACGTGGTCCTGGAAGGCAACGTAGTCGGTCGCGAAGTCCACTACCTCGTGAACGTCAAGCTGACCGAAACGGAGACTATGCTCGAGGTTACCCTGGTAGATCAGCGCAACCTGATCAACCCAATCATCAGCAAGAAGGCCACGACCGCCCTGCCGACACGCGTCTCGGCGACAATATCAACCGTCCTGTCTTCATGCCAGTGAACAACGTGATGCAAGATGGAAGATATCAGCCTCACGTTATCCATAACCATGCGTCGCGCGATCACGACGACAACCGCAACCCCGAGCGTGAGAACTACGAGGACGATCGTGGCCGTGACGGAGCTGAACAGGGTGGCGCGTACCAGCATCCTGAGCGGCGCAATCACGACCACGACCAGGACCGCGGTCCCGAGCGTGAACACTACGAGGACGATGGTGGTCGTGGCAGGCATGAGCAGGGTGGTGAGTACCAGAACGGAGATTTACTCAACTATGGTTGAGAGTACAAGAGGCCTCTCGTACGAAGAAGCGTCTTTGTTACTCTGGCATCCGAACCGAAGCGCGTATATGGGTCGATGTCGGTATCTCATCTCAAGAGGTATTCTCGATATACCTTACGCTGAGCTTCAATTGAAGAAATTGGCTTGTTACCACCGAGATATAAAGCGAGGCCTTGTTCATTGTACATGATGTAAAACAATGAAGTGTAGGATTCTTGATGGCGCGATGTGCTTTGTTCAAGCTTTTGTTATCGACGTTCCTTGACGACCGAGGGACGAGACGATGTTCGCGTCGTTCTTTGTGTAATTTTCTGACTGCGAGACCCCTACGTCAAGTGACTTCGTTGTTCAAAGTGCAGTATATGCGAGCTTTAACAGGGCTATCGCAACGTGATAGCCTCAGTCAATGCTCGCTGTTCGTATGATAACTGCGTTGACGATGGTCCAACAAGCCTAATTGCTGCGGCCGGTACATCGGCCGACAGCTGTCGGGTGTTGGTTTCAAACAAATTGTAGGCCTCGTCGCATTTCGAGTTGAGGTCCTCATAGATTCGTAAAGCCTTTAATTCGGGATAAGTGAAGTCTTCGGACTCTGCTGGCGCGGCGGACTCGGGACTCAAAAGTCCGAATAAAGACGTGTTCTCGTGAGCTTGTATCCACACATGTCGCATGCGACGAGAATTGAGGCGCAGAAAAACCGATACCTATCTGAGGGGCGACAGAGTGTGCGAAGGCCGTTTCGGTCTTGATATAATGAGAGGAAAAGGGAGTCGAGGGGGGTAAGGGCGAGAACTCCGAGATGATCGCCTGAAGCTAACCCGAAGACGAGGCGCACGGTGACACTAAGCACATGTCATGACATCACTCATAGTCTTGCAATGACCATGCCCAGGTGTTCTCTTTCTCCAATTTTTCGATCGAGGTTACATGCGCATCAATTTGATTACATTAATTATCTGCGACTACATAAGATAGTGTGAACATGTTGAGTCAGGTCGCAACAGCGACGTGCTACCAGATTAATGCCCGAGACATGTTACTCCTCCCGGAACCAAGGATCCTGAACAACAGCATTCGCTGATGCCCTAGCGGAAGGCTCCATTCGTAGCATGCTTCTGATAAGTGCGCCGACATGCACAATGTCTTCTCGGCTCATATCCTCGCGCCTCTCCCCATCAAAGTACATTTCCTCTAACCATTCTTGCAGTGAGCAAGTGGGATCGCTCTCATCCAAGGTTTTTTTCATGGCATGCCAATCCATCTTCCAACGATCCGGCAAATCGTCGCTGACTGCCTCGAGCATTTGCTGGACAAGGCCTGCAGGCGTTAACATGAAGCTGTCAAACGGTGGCTGTCCGACAATGAGCTCGAAAAGCTTGATAAGTTATTAGATTTCCATCGCGGTATCTTTGGGTTCATGTCGCAAAGGCCCAACTCACCAAACAACCCATACTCCAAAGATCTACACGATAATCCACCTTATCTTTGAAGATAATCTCCGGGGGGCGCACGGGAAGTGGAGTACGCAGGGCGCCAGGACACTCGTCGCTTAAGAAAGATTGACCAAAATCTATGATCTTGATCGAGCGGGAGGGTGACTTGATATCTATAGGGTAGGAAGTGGGTCTGACGAGGTATCGAGGCATGTTAGACCCTATTGGCTGGCCATCCCTTCTTTGCACAGTACCTATTTCGGGCTGTCCAAGTTTCCGGAGGAAATCTTCTTCTCGCAAGGCTTGGAGCGAAGGGATCGTGAACGCTAGGTTGCGGGTGTGTAGATCTAAGGACAATGAGCGGAATTGATATGCACACTGTCATCATACTGTACCTGCATGGGCAATTCCTCGCTCGTGAAGGAAGCAGAAACCAAGCAAAGCTTGTTTCGCAATGGTTTTCGCAAGCTTTCCGGGAAGCCTTTCCATGGAATGCGCGTCGAGGTAATCGGCCACACTCGGTCCTAACAACTCCAACACGAGGCATTGGTGAGTTCCATTTGGGCCACTAATCTGGAAAAAATCTGTCATTCTCATGAGATGCTGATAGCCAGGCTGATTCGATTGCGCCGCCGCTATCGTACGCAAGACTGCAATCTCTCGATAATTATGGGTTATCTCAGATACCGATATCTTTAAAGCGACATACGTTCGGTCCCTAGCAGAATCTCAGCTCAAGTTGTCAGTGTTTCGCAGAAAGCGTGACCTGCTATCGCGCGCAGCCCAGACAGTAGAGTATCCGCCCCGACCTAATTTGTGCAGGACTTTGTATCTGCCATTGCTCAAACGATCACCCAGGTGGACGGGGTGATAGCCACCTCTTTTGTAACGATGTAAAGGCTCGGCATCAATATCGCAACTATGTATATTCCAATTTATCGGCGGCCCATGCTGAGGCTGTACGAATGTAGATGAAAGCGAACGTGTAGACGCGAGTGCCGCTATGAATGAAGTGTTTACGAGCCCTTTCTGAACCGATATGGTGCGAGTTCGAGCGAGCATACTGGCGACGCTCATAATTTCGCTCACACTTGCGTTGAAATGTGAGAGGTGTCTATCGACTCCAAAATCTAGTGGCGTGAAGATCAGATCGTTGAGAGGGGCCCGAAGACGCCAAGAAATCACAATGCCGGGCCGCGAATTGAGCCGGCGCGCGTTTCGAGCCACCCGAACATCACAACCACCAAATCGTCCGAACTTCAGCGCGCCACAACTTCGCCAATATCGACCAGATTCAGAAAGTGATTGGCGCATCCGATTGGAGTAGAGAAGGCGCAGATTCCATTGAGAGTCGGAAATGAGCTCACAGTCGCACCTCTCACGCGTGATGATCACGCCTGCCGGGTCGCGTTTCAACACGGATGAAAACAGAAAAAGCTCATTTGGGTGTCAGACTACAAAAGTACAATCATCTATCTATAACTAGGCTAAACACAGACTCTCGCCACGACTTTGCTACGGCTTAAAGAAGTCGCGAATCGACATTCTCATCGACTCTGGAGTCCCTTCCACCACTGCCTGCTCAAGCGTTTCTTCCTGGAGCCACTCGATAGCGGAGTCTTTACGTAACGGGGTTTCGCGCACACTATTTCGAGACTCGACTACTCTCCGAGATTTCCTTTCACTCGTTTCACTCAGTTCGCAATCTTCCCGCTTCCGCTTATTGCCACTGGGGCGATGAGGCCAGTCTTCAGATGGTTCAGTCGGCTCAGGAGATAGCGTGTCTCTCTTGTTGTACGCGAGCGCCAATTGATGCAGGCCATCTTCGAAGTCCTGAGCCTGTTGCGAGATTGGTACAGAGTGTTCAACAACTTGATCTGCCATGGCTTCGACGCTTTCGTCGATGCTTACATCGCTAAATGATTGCTCGACATCATCTGCCATAATTGCCGATGGCATAACGTCGTGTTCAGAGACTTGGCTACCTTCGTCTCGATAGTCGCCCGGTCTCTTCCAGTCAAGAGTCGGTTTCGCTGTAATCTCTAAACAAGCTGAGGTGATGTCGCATGTATCGCAATTGGATTCCTCCATGCGCCACAGTTCAGCGTCACTTTGAGCATGTGAATGAGATGAAACCGGCGAACGCGGACTCGCAAGACCATCGTGTGAATGCTCGGAAGCTCGGTCATGGTGTTGTCTACCGTCATGCCTTTGCGACCGTGAGCGGGACTGAGAGCGATAACGAGGTTGTCCACGACTTCGCCCACTCGATCGTTCCTGCCTTCCATGGTCATGGGTATGAGGCTCTCTTCTGCGATGTCTGGACCTGTTGTCTTGCCTTCGCGGTCGAGAACGAGACTCAGACCGAGAATCAGTGCGAGGCTGTTGGGCATGATTTGTACTTTGCGATCTAGCCTCTCGCCTCTGTTCGCGGTGTGATCTTCGATGTCTTCTGTCCCGGGATCTTGAGCGAGCGCGCGGCTCTCGTTGTCTTGGAACTGAACCACCCCGGCTAGATGCTCGATCAGGGTCATACTTGTCGATCTGACCACCACGCACCCACAGGCGATCGAGTTCTTGTTGCACCGCAAACCAAGCATTTATCCATCTCTCTTTGCCTAACTTCACCGAGTCTTCGGCTAAGCGACGGTAATATTGGTAGTATTTCTTCGTCCTATGGCACTTCTTCCGCTCTTCTAAAAGGTCTTGCAGCTTATATCTTTCCTGATCAGTAGCTTGTCCAGTTTTTCTAACCTTCTTCTTCATAACTTCTATCAGGTGTTCCAACTCTTCCTCCCAAGCCTCGGTTCTGGCTTCAGCCTCGAAACGGCCCTTGTCTTCATCAGCTACGCTTTCGGGAGTTCTCCAGTATTGGTGAGCGATGCATAAAGCTTTGCGTATTTTTTCCGCCAATGGTTTGGACAGAACCAACGCATCAGGCGACTCTCGCCCGTCCTGAACGCGTAGGAAATGTGCTGACCCATCAGTGCATTCTATTCTCTCTCTGTCTTTCGACGTCCAGCGACGATATATGCCTTTCAATTGATTGGTATGATATTCGGGGTCCCAGTCATGATAAAATAGGGGATGATCGTCCATTGTCGGCAGCTTGAAGATTGCATGATGGCGAAATGAGTCGTGATGATATAGCCTCGAACAAAGGAGAGTTATAGCTCCACGTATATCCGGATTCGGTAAACGTAGTGCGGCTACAACAAAGACATCATTCTTCTTTCATTAAGACAACGGCCTTTCACACTCGCTAGCTCTCGACAGCCCAGCTCTGTCAGCGAGATTGCGACACTAGACTGGATCGAGCATACACAACACCACTGGGCACGTACCTCAGCCTACGACTAGCAGATGCAACGACTTTCGACATTCACTGAGGCCAAGACAACCGCGATGCCTGCCCCTATTTCAACAGAGCCCCATCTGGGATCACAGTCGCTACCACTCCATGGGCACCTCAACTCGCCTGGACCTTTCAACCACGCCTCGACACTTGAACGGGATCGACCTCCATGCCTCGCGGGAGCCAAACCCCAAAGCAGCCTCCGGGCCTCGAACGTGCACAGGTTCCACAGGAGGTTGCCAAAGGGTCACCATACGATTTACGCAATGATCGTAGACCGGCCGAAGAGCACGATGACAATCGCGCGGAGGAGCAAGATCACCGCGGCCGCGACGGACAAGGCGATGAGCCCTCTAAACATGGCGAACCAGATGAGCCTCCTCGTGGTCAAAAACGATCACGCTCACGCACGCGCTCTCGTGACCGAGATCAAGGCCATCCTAGGAGCCCATCCAGGGTTGCAAAACGAGCCCGGAAAGGTAAACCTACTCAGCCGCGGCGGGAACACCCAGCCAGACAAGGCGATCGACCTTCCAGGAACGAGCATGCTCGAGGTCGCGATGCCCACCAGAAACAATCGCCCTCCCCTGAGCCTACTCCAGCTCCCCCCAAGCGCACTCCAGATACTACCAAGCGCACTTCAGATCCTACCAAGCGCACTCCAGATCCATCCGATCGCACTCCAGATCTGCTACGCCTGTGTTCAGCTCCCGGCATAGCCTACACTGTGATAGATCACACCAAGAACACAAGCTTTCAATGGGGACCGAAGTATGGACAGCCCCAGGACACGTGTCACCAAGATCTGACGCATCTGCTCAAAACCGGAGCTGTGATATCCGTTCGACATTGCGATTTTTCGTCCGACCCTGAAGCGGAAGTTGGAGAGAAGTTCACAATGTCTTCGCAAGGACTGATATACATCAAAGAAGACGTCCCTTTTGTGGTTTGCCGAGTTGAACCTACTTACGTCACCGGCTGGTATTGTCGCAGCGTCGGTGATCGCGGCTTGGATGTGTCTTGGATATCGGAGTCGGAACGCGCCAAGTACATGGGAATGGCGACGAAAGGCGACCCGAACGGACCTGGGGGGAACAACAGTCCGCACGTCCAGCTCCAAATGGGGCGAAGGGGACGAGCCAGAGACCTCAAGCCAACAACTCATGTCTTCGCTGGCGAGATATCAAGAGCCAAGGTTCCACCAAATTTTTACATCTGGGGCTTCCTTGCGCCCGAAGAATTCTTCCGCTTGATGAAACTGCACGAGTTTCTCACGGCATCTCCTGGATCGGCTGCCGGAAGGATCGCTTCGGTTCCAAAGACTCTTGGCTTCGATACCAATGCGCTGAGCCTGTTACGGACTGCGGAGCAATCTTTGGTTCGAGGTTGGGAAAGGCAAATCGCGGCTCTCGAAGCTCAACACAAGCCGAAGCCACCCAACGACGACACGGACGCAAACACCCGTCCGCCTCGGGTTCAGACAGCATCGGATGGGCGTAACCCAGCTCCTATCACGCGCGCCGGTGCCGGAGACGTTAGCACGACAAGGACGCCGCCGCCGCTACCACCACCACCACCACCACCAGCAGCGACTACGCGGGCTAACCACAAGACGACACGGCAAAAGCAGCGGCAACAACCACTGGCTGCGGATAGTACGTGGGACAGCGGGTTTCAGCCACCAACGGGGCCGAGGAGTATGCGCAACCGCGAGCGTCAGCCTCGTTCGTCAACAAGGCCTCGTCAACCACCAAATCCTTAGGGCCGCGTCATTCTAGGAAAAAGCTGAACACCCTGGAGCCTACGTTGACGTTGGGTCAGACACTTTGCAGGTCTTTGTCTTGATGTAGTCCGCAGGCCTGTTCAGGTTCTTTCTTGTATGAGGTGGGGCAGCGTAACAAGTCTTTCAGACGTTTTGGGAGGAACAACGGGTGACATTGGTCCACACCAATCTTCAGTGCACAATGAGCAGCGCGATGTGCTCAAGGAACAAAGCGCAGAAGATTGTTCGTCGGCTTTAGGCGATAAAGAGCCACGAAGAGGGCCTGTCAGGTATACTGTTGGTGTCAGAAATGAGATGCGCTCATGTTATGAGATTGTATAGCAAGGATGCTGTTGCGAGGTTCATAATCTGCTGTATATAGGGATCGAGATGACATCTCCAGGGCTTGATTCGAGACCCAGTCTGTTTTGTATGGGAGAGAGGCTTGCTATATGACGAAGAGAAAGTAACAAATAGGCTGTTTCTACATAGAATATAACAGCATTATAACAAATGAGGCTGAATAGCGCAAAGCTTGTGAAGGAAGGAAGGATGCGTAGATGCTCAGGTGACGATGCGGCTCCTTGCCCGCCAAGACCCCCGGAGATTGCCGGTGCCGATCATCACAACTCAAGGAAGCATCGCTCGTGAACTTCGACAACTGCGCCAGCTTCTTCTCTACGGGCCGTACAGCATGCCCCGTGTAGACGCTCGCCGCCTTCCCGTCGCTTCCGTATAGACTATAGATTTCCGTTCACACTAGCGCGTAAACAGCTCCACCGCTTCCGCCAGCCACCGTCGCGGCCATTCGATGGGTATCTGCTCGTCGTGCCTGGGAGGGCGAAGGACTTCTGAGTCTGATGTAAGTCCTCATGGATGTTATACTGAGCTATACAAGTACTGACCCTCTCCTACAGAACTCGGACGCCTCGCACCTACTCGGAGATCAGTACCAGCCCAACTATGGAACCGCCAGCAGCACCCACAACGCGCCCCAGCCAGACCCGGAGGAGCTTCGACGTCAACGAGAGAACCTGGAGCGTATTTGCGCTGAGACAAACGAGTCAGTGCCGCCTTCCTCATCTTCGAGCGTTCCTTCCTGCATAGGAGTCTGCACCTTCCCACGAAGTCGCTCGCACCTTCCCTCAAAGGAGCCCACACCTTCCGAATTAAGGGCCACAAAGTCCCTTGGGGGTTCTCCATCTTCACTAGAACACAACACTGATCTTCTACAGGCAACTAATCCCCGTCTCCCAACCGAGCGCCCTCCCCGAAGTCACCGAACAGCCCTCCAAGAACGACGAATACGCACACCTCTTCAACGAGCGCTTCAAGTCGATACGAAGCCAGCGCCCATCCTCCGCCGGCAACGACGACGACGACGAGACGACATGGCTCGAGAACGCCATGGGCAACCAGGGCGAGGAGGAGCTGGAACAGATTAAGCCAGCCAAGGGGAAGCTGACGATTCAGTTCGGTCAGCGGTAGATACCTACAGCGAGGATTTCGAAGACGGCGATATCTTGCGGCCCTGTACGGCTTCTCTAGCTGAGGCTATACGTACTTTTTCATTGTTTGTCGCATTCTGCATTGCATCAGCGCCATTACGGATACCCATAATCTTTTCCTTCTGTTATTCCTTCGCCTCGAAAGGAGGTTGTTTACGTACGTTTATCAAGTAGCATAATCATGTCTGCATTGAATGTCTTCCAGTCCTCTTTCGTTTATGTCTTTCAAGAGTCGGTCCGACGATACCATTGTACGAGGCACGTCCTTCATTACTGATTTGATGCAATTGGTTTCTCGATATATGCTCCTACGATAATATTTTGCTATCCTAGGCGAATGCCAAGCTGGTCAGACGAAGCCAACCAATGCTGACTCGCTACCCATGTGAATGGACTGATGAAAGTCCCGACAACTCTGTCTATCGCTGAAGATCTATCAATGCAAGAAGGAGGCCAAGGTAATCATCGCTCAGGCCAATGCAACGCCATCACCTATCCTAGACAGCCTTGAACAACAAGTCAGGAGGACCAGTCGCAGGCTTCTCGTCACTCACGCCCAACTCCGCCAGCATACTGCCAGCGCGCTCGTCCATCAACTTGGCCAACTCCTCCCGAAACTTCTCGTCGATGAAGTCAAGACGCAGTTTCAAGCCCGGCTGCACCATACGCTGCTTCTCCGGATTGAGCTTCTTGAACGTCTTCTTGCCCCAGACCAACGCGGCGCTCTCCATGGCGTTGAAGAGGGCCTTGTTATCGTCTCCGTCCATGGTGTCGGCGTTTAGGTACTTGGTTGCCATCTGCTCGACGAATGCGCCAACGGTGCATTCATTAGCAGCCTGGTCAGCCTCGTTCTTCGTTGTGTCAGCTTTGTCGTCGTCGATCACAGCTCTATACCCGTTACTTACGCTCTGCTCAGCCAAGGAGGCCACGGTCTCTTCTCCAGTTGTCTCGCCTGTCTGCTCTAATCCCATCTTC